TGCTTGATTGTAACTTGAATTCGGCAAATGTCATGGACTTAGTTCGATTGGAAGTTTGAGAAATAAATTGAAATTGAAGATTGCAACTTATATTTTGATGTATTAATTGATGAATGCTTGAGGACAAGCATTGAATAAGTGAGGGGAAATTTGATAAGTTCTTAATTTGGTTAATATTTTGTTTTTAAATTACTCCTTAATCATTATTTTTTTTGGATTATTTGTTCGTTTTGATTCATTTTCTGTGCATGACGCTAGATTATGGAAATTGCACTAAAAATATAGAATTCTGTAGTTTTTTTATTTTAGGAATCAAAGTTGAATTAGTGGGCATGACTTTGGGCATGAAATATCTGATGAGGTGATGATGTCAGCACCTTCTAGAAGATCCATTCAGTGCTTCTAGAGAACGAATGGATCAACCACACGTTTATGCAATTCTAATTTGAATTAATCTCATGTTTTAGGATATTATTTTAAATATTATATTTTATCTTTGTTTTAGGAATTTTAGTTTAAATAGTTTTAAGTATTTTAATTAGGTTTTATTTCTTTATTTTAAGAATTATCTTTAGTTTGTTTTTAGGATTTTGAAGGCTATAAATACCCTCTCACGGTAAGTCTAGAAACATATCTCTCACATCTGAGAATTAAATATTCTTTTTCTCTCTAGCTTTATAAAATTTTCTCTATTTTCTTTCAAGATTTGCGCATATTTTTTTTCTATTTTATTTTAAACTTTGTTTTCAAATATGCTAAGTATGACTTTGGTCGTGCTTAGCTATTTTTCTTTTAAGTCGAAGGCTAAAGGGAAGACTCAATTTCAAACGTGAGAATTGTAAGGCACTTAAATCGCTTCATATGCTTCTCTCTGTTTTCTAGGCTTATTTTCAAATCAAAACGATTTTCAAAACCAAAAGTCGACGTTGGTTTGGATGTTGTTATGGTTAATGTGAGAAGAAGGATCGGCTTATTGAAGCACATATGACTTCCTGTGAACACACTTAGCAAAATTGTTTGCTAAGAGTAAATTGAGATCGGAATCAGTTATTGTTGAAACAACATAATCCGAGTCGGCATCTTTTAGAACTTCAACGTTTTGAGATCTACAACATTGTTGTTGCTTAGATCAACTCACAAACCGAAATTTAAGAGTGCACTTGGATATTCGGTATACAAAACATAGTCACAAGGAATTGTCCTTGTAGACAAGTAGCCGACGTGAATCTTGAAGTAAAGATCTATTTTGATGATCCGAGGAATTTGAGGCAAAGCTAAAGTTGAGGTTGTTCTTACAATAAGTCTTCTTTATTTCAATTTATTTTGTTTATTTATTTGTTTATTTAGTTTTTATCTCATTATATCTCTTTAAACAAATTAAAAACTCCCCCTTTTATCTTTATCATTATCTTATAATTATTTTCTATTTTTTATTATTTTATCATTATCTTCTTTTTAAAATAATTCATATTTAATTATCTATTTTATTTTATTATTTTATTCTTATCTTTTTATCTTTATCTAAAATTCTATCTTCTTCTAAATCAAGAAAGAGTTTCACTATATCAGAAACACCATAGTCCATGTGGATCGACCCTGCTTCTCTATACTACTCTCCCTTTTTACTTATTAAGAAGCTAGACTTATTTTGATAGCAAAACGACAGTTATCAAAGCCATTTCTCATTTGGGATTCTAGCAAGATAGTTGAAGCCCTAAAAATTCATATGTCTCAGTTCCTGCGTGGTTCTGCTAACGTACTATACATATCACGGGATGCAGGATGCGATTTTCACTGAAAATATTTTGATTAACTCAAAATAAAATAGTTTAGTACAAATATTTCAGTTTTGAAGAACGAAATAAATAACATCTAATAATGCCTATGTCCACCAGTTCCGCATTGTGTCTGATAACGAGTCCGACGCGGACGTAATTGCGATTCTTCTTCCTCTTCAACATTATTATCATCATCAGGACTAGTAACTATACATGGAATAGATCCACCACTGGCATTGGAACTAGGACCAGGTAGAATATGTTTTGCTGCGGTGTTTGCTCAACAATATCAGATCCAAAGTTAGCCACCAATTGTGTCGGTGGTGAATTCAACTAGTCAAAGATGTTGGTGATGAAACCTTCCGAGAACTGTCCCATTTGCTGAAATGTTGATTGAGTCAAGTGGGTGAAGATAGGGTTAGAGTGTGTCAACGGTGTCTGAGGAGGTCCTTGTGTTGTTGTCGATGAGGAGGATACATTGTTGTCTTTTTCTTCTCTGTCTTGACTCCCCCCCCACATTGCCTCTCAGTCTGTGGGCGATTCTGTGGGCGATTATGTGGAGGAACATATAATTCTCATACTCGCTCCTCATCGGTCAATATATGTGGCATCCCATATTCTTGGTACCATCACATATAATCGTATGTCACATTGTGGTCGAAGATGGGTTGAGTCATGGGTGTCTTCTCGAATCGTCAGACACAGTTATTCAGATACATTGCATTATGGTTCGCCTAATTAATTTCCGTCTTCCCTTCTCGTGTCAATCGATGTAACTCATCTAAGCAAGGTGGATGTGGCGGAATTGATTGAATACAATTAAATTGTCGAAGGACGCGCTCGGTGGGATGCCACTCGACTATCTCATACAAGATTAGCGGGACTGACACGATGTACACAGGCACATTAGTCACCCGAATCTCATGCGATATACAATAAGCAATAGCAGTATCACAGTAAGACGTCCACAAGAACTATAAAATTAAAATTACATAACTTTGTTAGCTAAAAACCTCAAATAAATTAAATTGTTCTACAATTATAAGATAAACATCAAAAGAAAAATATTTTATTACCTGATGTCCAAACTTATCGATCAAGAGTCTAAAGTCTCATTGATGTGTTGATAAGTGGGCGTGAGAAGTTTCATCAATACACTTATCATTAATATAATAGAATTTTATTATTTGTTAGTAAATTATAATAAATAGATAAAAATTATTTTTTACCTTTTAAGTAGAAATTCATATGGGATATGTGTTTTAAGGATATGGCATAAAAATGACATTCAGATCCAGGCCCACGAACGCCACAACAATAAACACCCTCCAATGATTTTTTCGTAGAATCTACGACTCTACAAAGCTGTTGGAACAAAAATATCAAAACTACCGACCCTCAACTTATATTTATTGAATCACTCAAAATTTTCAAATGATTCAACCACATCAGATGCACCTTATTTCGGGATTTGTCTAGCATTAAAATCCCCCAATAACTCGTAGTATATGTGCATAAGCAAATTGCTTAAAAAATTAATAAAATAATATAACTACTTAATTTCCAAAAAATTAAATAAATAAATTGAAATATTAATAAATATTCATAAATAAAAACATTTATATTTACCTCATTTGCTTCATGCTCCACATTCTAGGGTAGATTCATAAATTTTTTCATCCAAAAATTTATTTTTTATTTTTCCACCATCGTATGCATCATCAGGCTGATCAATTCGAGCAATACCTCACATACGTTTCTAGGGGCGCCGACAACACCAGTAATAGCTACTCCATCAATATGCAATCCTAGATGAAATGCAACATCTTCCAGGGTAATAGTTGCCTCCCCACACAGTAAATGAAACATGTGCGTCTCCAATCTTTATTTTTCCACCAAAGCATTTATAAGTGGAGGATGCAACTTCACGCCGTTAATAGTTGTACTACCGATTTATCTGAAACTCGCTAAATGTAAATAGTCAATAATATCCGTATCGGGCGGTGTCCCACGATTTATATGACACTCTAATACACGCTCATATCCCTACGAAATATAAATATTAAAAAATTATTTAAATACCAAAACAAATAACTAACTAAATAAATAAATAAATAGTAAAAATATTAAATAATATTAATTAATTTACCTCACCATTTTATATCCAATAATCTAATACGTGACTTCGATCATGTCTTAATAGACTCGCCACCATGATATGTAATCTTTGAATATTTTAATATATGAAAGGGATAAGTGTGGTGATGAATAGGAGTGGAGAACCCTATTTATATAGCCCTCTCGCACCAGGAGAAACGTAGTTTTAAATGCAACTTGCGTCCAGCAAGATGTGAGTTACGTTAAAAACACACGAAATTTATTCCTTTCCTAGTACCTCGTAGTTTGCAAGACGCGAAATTACTACAACTTTTATCTTTTAAATTTCAAAATATATTATAGTTATAATATTATTTATTATATTTAATATTTTACACATATAATTTTTGTCATTATTTCAAAATTTACAAAATATATTATAATTATTTTTTATAAAATATATATTATAATTACTATATTTATATATTATTATATTTTAATTATTTATTATATTTAATATTTAATATTATTCATTATTATTATTATTATGTTTTATTTATTATATTCATTTAATTTATACGTTTCAAATTAGATTACTATACAAAATTCGAAAGAACTTCGCGCTTTGCAGGTAACGAAGTCTCCCATAAATCTCGCGTTATTTTGGATCATAAAAGCTACCTCGCACTTCGTAATGGGCGATGTTATTTTATACAATTATTTTATTGGCTTACTTGAAAAGTATGCCCACGTCGAATGAATCTCGCATGTTGAAGGGTGAGAGATTTAACACACAATTTACAAGTCGCGAAGTCGTCCGATGTGAATGATTTGAGGGTTATTCTTTCAAATAATTTCTATAAGACCATTTCTTTAATTAATTATTTATTTAAGGTTTTTAATATAAAATTGCATATTGAATCTTTTTTTTTTCTTGTTTCTTTAACTTTTTATCATTTAAATAAAATATTTTCTTGACTCGGAGCCACATTACGTGTTTTAAAACAGTGGTTTGATGGGTAAATTCCTGGTACTTTCTATTACTCGAGAGTTTTATAAGTCAACGAAAGTGCTTTGCTTTCTGGGTATTTATAACCAGCTGGAGAGCATTTAGGTTACCAAGTGTTTGCTTTTCTTCTTACTAATTTATTGCAGTTTCCAACCTTTTTTTATGATGCTTCCTTGTAAGAGAACTGCTCCTGATCATGGTGACGATGATGATGAGAGCTTGGAACTCAGGGCTCCTGAGCCTAAAAGAAGAGCTAACCTGAAACAGTGAGTTGGATTTTTTTCCCGTTAAAGTTTAATAATTTTGCATGTTTTTTGAATTGAGTTTTCTTTAAAAAAACTTTTGCAGCGCTGTTCGAAGCATAATGGGTGTTGGAGGGCTTTCCTTCAACAAAATTGTGCTCAACCTGGAACCAATGCTTCGGTTATGGGTAAGCCCTGCTTTATATGTTGATTCTACTTCATTTGAGCTCAAATTTGGGTATATTTTGTGCTGTCAAAGCTTACTATGATAGTATCAATGAATTTATTAGCTTGAATTGTATCTTTACTTTTCAATCTTGGTTTGATTTGCCTGATTTCTCAGTTTTATATCACTGTATTTTATCCGTGATTAGGTTCGTGAGGCGGTCGAAAGGGCAATTATGTCCTCCATTCCTTCATCTTCAAGGTCAGTTATTTCACCTCAATGTTGGATCAAGCATTTTGATGTATATCTTCCATGTCTATATGTATCCTTATGCTGCATGTTTATTGTCTAATCCATTAATAGCCTAAGTTGGTACTTTTACTGTTTTAGATCCTCGCTTAATCAGATCGAGGCACCTAGAGGACGAAGGTTGCAGTTGCATTTTGTCGATAAACTGCCTTCGATCATATTTACAGGCAGCAAGGTTGAGGCTGAGAATGGGAATACCATTAGGATTGTCATAGTTGATGCAACTACCCAAACAATGGTCTCATCCCTGTCGTCGGTTAAGGTCGAGATTGTTGTCCTCAATGGTGATTTCGACGCTAATGAACGACAAGATTGGTCAGAAAATCAATTCAATGCCAGTGTTCTTCGTGAGCGAGAAGGTAGAAGGCCATTGGTAACGGGAGATGTCAACTTTACGATGGTAGACGGTGTAGGTACTGTTGATAATGTGGTTTTCACTGACAATTCGAGCTGGATAAGAAGCAGAAAGTTCCGTTTAGGAGCTAGAATTGTACAACAAATTGCTGGTGAAGTGACGATCAGGGAGGCTATAAGTGAAGCATTCATGGTGAAGGATCATCGTGGAGAATGTAAAGCTCAAACACTTTTTTTTTCAACTTCAATTCCATATTCAGTCTATTCTTAAAAACTGACTTGGAATTTTATTCATATGCAGTGTACAAGAAACACTACCCGCCACACCAACGCGATGAAGTATGGCGTCTCGAAAGGATAGCGAAAGATGGCGCCTTCCATGCACGTTTGGCTTCAAAAAATATTCATAACATAAAGGACTTCCTACGGCTGCAAGTTACCGATCCATCCACACTACGGAATGTAACAAATAAAAAATTCTTCATGTCCATAACATCTAATGTTTTTTGTTTCATCTGCTGAACCTGTCTGAATTGTGATAACTGCAGATATTAGGTGGTGGGATCTCAAACAGGGTATGGGATACAATCATAGAACATGCCTTAACTTGTGTTCTTGATGATGATGAGTGGTATACCTACTACGGAGCCGCACAAAGAGTTGGTCTCCTCTTAAACTCCATTTACCAGGTCATTGAAGTAACATTTGATGGCCAAAATTACCTGCCTGTGGAAAACTTAAACTTTTCCCAGAAGGTATGTGTCATATCCATGAATTTCGTAATTACAGTACTTCACCTTAGTATGTTCCATATATATTACATAAGAATATAAGATTGAATGATTTTCGTGCAATTCATTTTTGCAGCTGCTAGTGGAAGATGCAAAGAGACAAGCTTACAAGAATGTTCGGGACCTGGTCTTGATCGATCGGCGAGCGATTACGGCCGGCCCTTCAATGCTCTTTACAGATCTGCTGCCTGAACAAGTAGGCACCTCAAATTTGCTTCTGCCGCAACCTTATTTCTCAGCTTCAAACCAAGGTAAAAGACCAGACATGCCACTAGGGTTCAACCAGTTTCAGACTTTGAATTCCTTCTTTATTAATTGAAGTGCAAAACACATGTATTAAATGCTTATGAAATCCTTATATATGCAGACCAACAAGACATGTCATTGGGATTCAACCAATCCTCAGCGTCCTATGCCTATGAAGTGGAAGATCCCAATAACTTGCAGGGAATTGGAGCATTTAATCCAATGCTAAGAAACAGTTTTCGAATGGAGGGAATCTTCCCTTACAATGGAGACAATAGTTTTTCACTTTTCGCGGACGAAGATTTCAATATAAATCAGGATAATCCTCAGACTCAAATGCTAAGCTTAACATCAGCTGCTCCTACATGGGCTCAAGGAAATGGATTTATTTTGACTCCAGACTATGAATCATCATCTATAGGCATCCTTGCTTCTTCCCCAAGCTTCAATGTACATAACCGAAGCATAAGGGAGGCGAGAGATGTATGTCCCAAAGCTCAGTGGTTGAAATTACGAGCCGTTATCCAATGGAGGTCAATTAGGCGCGGTGCTGCAAGAAGGCGACACTGGCTGCCACAAGGTATATGTATATAAATCAGTAGGAACAATTGCATAGCAATTAACAATCTCCGACATGTTTTATGAAATTAGGAGATAATAATCTCGTAGAGGTCTTATGTAGTGCTTCTTTATGGAAATGTATTGTATGTAGTGTGAGGTTGTAGGAGGGCAGTCCATATTAGTCTCCTAGGTTTATTATGTAGTTGAAGATTTCACCTTTGTAACTTGTAACTAACAATTGCAACAAAACAAGGGTGTCTGCAAATAGTGTTTTTTAAGTTAAAAATATTAGTGTAATAAAATCATCAATTTCTTCTTGAAGCAATGTACATTTATTTATAATTTAATTTCATATTTTTAAATAAAAATTAATAATTAATGTTTGTTAACGGAATAAATGAGTTTTATCGTCAGTTGAAAGTTTCCCTCTTCTGATTTGGATGATGAAGTGCGGTCGGTGGTTACATAACAATCAATAAGTGATACGGAAATAAAGAAGAGAATAGAGAGTGAATGAATGAATGAATGAATGGATAGGAATATGGTGAGCGGGATTTATATATTGATCCTCTATGTGTGATGGTGTCAAACCTAGAATCATGATTATTGTATGTAGATAGACAGTAAATAAATGCAATCGCTAATCAGTAGATATGAATCTTGCCAGATCCATTGGATTTGCAGATTTCCTTTTCAAGAGGTTACAGTTGACCGGAGGGTACAAATAATTCTGGAGGTACAACATTATGTCCCTTCCAGTTAAGGGCATATCATAAAGTAACTTCACTTGAAGCATATATGCGAAGGCATTTTCTATATGAATTTAGTTTGGTTAAGTTTTGGGAGTTACTTCAGAGGCATTTTTTAGACTCGTTTATATTTTTTCTGTGAGTGGTTCTTCGCGCCTTGGGGAGATCCAAAAAAGCAAAGGTTTCTCCAGGCTCGTCTATTTTCCCTACAAATAACTTTCTACGTTTCATTTTGAAAAAAATGTTTAGATCGATGGTCGTGTGGTGGAAGAACCTGATGCCTTTATACGTCTTTTTAAGTGCGTATTATGCGTTTTAAAATTTCAGACTTGTCTTAGAGTTATCTCCGAACTCGTGTACTTTGTGAAGGGCCTTAATCGCCTTTGGAAATTACTTTTGTGTTCTTAATTGAGGTGGGCGGAGTCATCTCCGGGCCAGTATAATTCCCTACGAAGGATGCTTGATACTTTTAGGTTATCCAAATTAATTTGGACGAAGTTATCTCTAAGTCCGCATGTATTTCCTACGGTGGATTCTCATCGCTCTTTGGATATCTCAATTAATTCAGGCAGAGTTGTCTCCAGGCCCACATGTATTTCCTGCAAGGATTCTCAATGCTTTTGGGGTATCATAATTTGGTAAAACTGAAGCGAGCAGAGCTAGCTCTAGGCACGCATGTATTCCCCACGGAGGATTCTGAATGATTTTGTTCGGATCATTTATGTATTCTTTAGAGGTCAAGCGCAAATTTCTTCAACCTTAGCGGAGGCATATATACTCCTGTAACAGCTTATACTCGGTCACGATGATGACCCGATTAATCTGAATGTCACATTAGACTACAAAGCGAATCAGACACATGGATCCTGAACATGCACACTAGGCGACAATGAGAAAAATAAACAAGCACTCATGCTTATTCACGCAACAGACATATCATGCTTCATACATAATTAAACTAAAAACAAATCACGCCTTTGAAACAATTGAATTAACAAATCAAGCATCTAGGGGGGAAATAGTCATTTCACCATACGTACGAGAAATTCATGTAAATTTACAAATTAAATCATATTATTAAACCTTACCTGATATTTATTAGTCATGGCTAAATTTGCAGTGAAAACAAAAATCATTTAGGCCTTCAATTGCTTAACATACATTTAGAGACTAAACATAAACATCTTAAAACATACATAACAACAAAAGACACAAATTGAAGGGCTCATTATGTAATTAATGTTATTAAAGGGTGACATACAAATCTCACACAAATCCAACTTAAAACATGTTTTAATTGAGAAATCAAGTTTTGGACTAATTTGAATTTATTTTAAGGATTAGGGGTCATCCTAAAGTTTAAGAAATATTACAGGTCTTTAATGAATGCTATTTTATCATTTTCCTCGATTTTAACCTCAAGGGATTGATCCCTTTTTACATGGGATCTATAATATCCCAAAATTGGGACTAGTTACTGAAATGTAAAATTTTAAGTTTGGGGACCAAATTATAAAGTTGTAAAAGTTTAGGACTAAAAATTTAATTTTCAGAAATTATATATATTGGACCGTAAATTAGTAGTTCAGCCCAAGAATAGAATTTTAGTGGGTTTTATATTTTTGATATAGGAATTGTATAAAAATTTATTAAGAGATAAAGTTCGGTAAAATATTCGGATAAGCGGATCAAATCGGAAGTTTACAAAAATTTGAAGGAATGTAGTTTGGGGCTAGAAATATTATACTGATATTTTTAATCATTAGAATTTGTTGTGAATCAGTGGATTTTGGTTGAATTTTTCATGTTAAAGTGGAATAGAAAAATTTAGTGACGTTAAATTTTTGGAAAAATGAAAGGGCAAAGATGAAAATTGATAGATAGGATTTTTTATATTTATTTAAGATTATTAAAATCGAGATAAAAGGATGGCATGTGGGTAAATATTATGATTCATTCAGGGCAATTTAACTTTTAGGCCAAAATGAATTTTTAATTAGCTTTTAAGGCAAAAATTAGGAGATATTTTGTATGAAATTTCAAGAATTCTCCTTTCTTCTTCTTCTTCAGCTGGCCGAACCTCCATAGCCAAGGTAAGTGGGGTTTTCTTTTTCATTTTTTTGATCCATTTAGTGAGATTTAAGACTAACTTGTGAAATAAGAAAATCATCTACACTAAATTCTCTTTAATTTGGTATAAATATGTCATTGATTCATGCTTAAACTGTTGAATGGGTTGAAGGGTAAGTTGTATTTGGTTGAAACAAGATTAAATTTTGATCCTAGGAGTGTTATGGAAGCATATACAAGCAAGAAAATTGAATAAAAATCATTAGAGGGACCATTTAGGGAATTCGACCACTATGGAGTTTTATTGATAAATGTTGAATTTGATTGGTTTTGTTATGGAAATGATTGGAATTGAAGAGAATTGACGTGTAGGTGATGAAATTAAGCTTGGATCAAACTGGAAACCATTAGGGGACTACTTTGTAATTTTTGGCCACAGGGGGGAATTATTGGAGAAATTTAATAAAAATGTCCCAAGGATTAGATTGGATTTAAGAACCATTTTGCATGCTTTGAATTGAATTTTGGACCATTATGGAACTTGGTTAAGTGGGTATTTTCGCAAGTTTTGAAAATGGATGGATCAAGTTGCAAGCTTTTGAAAGTTGAGATACAATGCTGGAAATTAGTGTTGGAATATTGCATTGGGTTAATTTGGAAAATGGTATAAGATTGAGGATCAATTTGAAAGTCTTGGAAAAAGGAGTAGTGATGAAATTGCAAAGGTCTAAAGTTAAGGACTAAGTTGAAATTTATTGGGAGAATGGTGAATGTGATGATTAACTTAGAATGAAAGTGGTCATGAAAGGATTGTTTTGGAGATTTTCGAAATATAGGGGTTGGAAATAAATAAATGCTTAATTGTAGTTATATGCTTGATTGTGAAAAGTTAAGCGACTTAAGGTTAAGAAATGCTAATTTTAAGGATTAAAAAGGTTATTTTGAAAGATTGAGTTAAAATTGATTAATTTAAAGAAAGTAGTATCGAATATGTAATGGTTATGTTTTTGGAATTTACGTGAATACGCATTTAATATGTTAGTTAAATACTAACATATGTATTGAAATTTTATTTGATCGATAATTTATTTTCGGATAGACTGTGATCGCAAACCAAGTCAAACCTAGCAAAAAGAGAAAAGTAAAGGATCAGAGTGAAAGCAATATTAACACTAAGGTTTACTAGTAAGGCCTATGGATAGTGCTTCTAACTTATTTTATATATTATTACAATGAGAAAGACTTATGATAAGTAAACATCAGTTTCTTCAAAAGATTTTTTTTAAATGTACTTTGAATTTATATTTTTGATATGATTTCATTTAGATACTTTTAAGCATGTATTTTTCGATACATTGATTGTTGTTATTTTATTTTATTTGTATAATGAATTTGTATTGGAAATGATATATGATTATGATAAAGCCCAATGTGTATATGTTGAGAGTGTGAGGTACAAATGGCATGTCATGAGGTGTAGTGACTATATGATATATGTTAATATGATACCTATGGTGCAATCCTACGAGACATTTGCGAGTGCAAATTTTACAAGGCACTTTTGAGTGCAATACTACGAGACACTTTCAAGTATATGAGACACTTTTATGTGCATATATCACTCACACTAGATGAAACTCACATACATGATATTCTTGATAAAATACACTGGACTACATGTTAAATAATAAAAAGTACGGTTTAATATAAGTTTATATGGTTTAACTATGGAAATTACAAGTTATATGAATGAGATCCTTGATTTACTTTTATAAGTTTTACATATGAATCATTTTTGAATAGTTATATTATTTGTCTTTTAATATTTATTTATAAATTTCTTATATTTGATTTTTATATAATATTTTGTGTACGATTTGGTTTTATTTAAATTTTCTTAATACCCCACTAAGTAAATACTTAGCGTGTAATTAGTTCATATGTAAGGAAAGGAAAAGAAAACTGCGGAGTAAGGAGCATATCAACATCACCTTTGGAAAATCAAGCTACCATCTGAATCAATAAGGACATCTATTTTGATATTTTGTATAAGTAGTGACATGTATAATATAAATATTTTAACGTCTTTGATATATGTTTTAAATATTATTTTTTAATATAATCACTAATTTTGTTAAAATATAATATTATTAAATATGGCAAGTAGTATTTTATAAATTATATACGAATAGTATTTTAAATTCGTATAGGTAAATTTAATAGTACATTTTTAATGAGATTTGTTATTATAGTGCTTTTAATTATAATAATTGATTTTAAACGAAACAAAATTCTACCGAAATTGTACCGTATATGTTTTATACGATTGATGTGATATCTTTAGCTCGTGTACGAGAACGTATACGGGATATGGGTATTAAGGATCAACCCTTTGAATTCAAATAGCCAAAAATCAGAAATCTGTCAATCATTTAGGGGAGAGATATATCCTTTACTTGAAGGGATCAATCCTTTCTATCAAGGGATCAATAATTTTTTTTT